CAGAATAACTGTTTTCTATCACTTACCACAATGAAAATCTAACTATAAAAAATTATGATACATACTGGAAAATAATCAGAGGCAAAATGACTGTTTTCTGGCAATTTATTACTTTTATAGTACTTAATTACTGCCTAAAAAGAAATATGTACAATTTGACGCTTTAAGGCTTCACTTCCTTTTTGGTCCTCAAGTTTTGGCTTAAAATTCCAGCGACAAATACACACTGGTGTGTGTGTGTGGGGGGGGGATTCTGCTTTAAAATCATATTTAAGGGAAAAAAAAAAAAAAAAAAAAAAAAAAAAAGGTAGTTGCTGAATATGTATACAATTTCCATTACAGAATTTCATGCAAAAATATTAGATTCATATATCTTCAAAATTTCTCAGCATAAACTTCTTAAATCATCCATAAGAAGGTCAAGTCTTGAAGGAGACAATTTCCTATTATATAGTTTAACGTATTCAGGATATCATTGGGCATTTTATAAAATTACTTTTACATATTGCATAAAGATTTATACTTTTTTACAGACACTGACATATAAAAATAATCAAGACATCAGATTTTAATATTATTAAAATATAATAGTTATTTATTATGTGCTCACCTTACTTCACCTATTCTGAATTCATTCACTCCAAGGATTGACCCTAGTCTCATTTTCACGCATTCTGTCAGCATTAAGGCTCATACGTTTTTTTGTACTATGAAGCTTTTAATAAATCGTACACCTAATAAAAAAAAAACAAAAAAATCATGTAGTATTGAAATTACTTAGCAACAAAAAAAAAAAAAAAAACATTGATACAGTACTCCAGTTATAATGTCATTTGATGTACAGAGATTTAGACTGAGGTGCTTTCCGAAACCAAACATAATAATGCTACTCAGCCCAGTAACAAAATAGTGGTTCTTCAACTGTCAAGAAAGATTTCTTTTATGAAGAATACATGGTACTTGGGTATTAGATGGTATCCATTGATACACTACCAATAATACCCTCATCCCTTCCAGAAAGCGCAAAAAGCAACAATTCTTGAAGTTGTTTTGGATTCTTCTAGGATTTTTTTTTTTTCTTTTTTCTTACATATTCTGTGAATTTCAACTAGAGCTAGAACATATCTATAATGTCCCCCCCCCTTTTTTTTTTTACACAGTGGTCAAAATAAAACTGGCTTGAAAAAAATAATTGGAATTCTGACACAGAATGTACACTTGTTAATGAACAGAATTTCAACATTTACAGAAAATGCTTGAAATGGCCACTGATGATGTCGATATAACCATTGTTTGCTATCACGTCTGTGCATGCTCTGTCCTATTCTCTGCTGTGTCACATTACATTTGAGTGAGAGGTGCTTAGTGATCAGTTGAATGTAATACAAAATGGTGCTCACGATAAAACTGCACGTTTTCACTGTCAGGTGTTATGCAACGCAGAATTCATAGAAAAGTAGGGATTAAGAGATCACTGTGCCGAAACATTACCAAAAGGGACCTGCATTTGTAAACATATGAATTTACAGTTGTGCATGCGTTAAATCCTCCAAACAAAGTCGCACATGTTGAGTTCTGCTGGTGGTTTCTGAGTGAAGTGGAATCAGGCTTTCTGGATTCCCAGTTTTTCATTTCTTCAGATGAGAACTGTTCAGCCTGTCAGGGTATGTGAACTCGTATAACATACACTATCATGCATCAGATAATCCCTTATCAGTACTTTTGCATAATCTCAAGCTTGATGATTGCTGCACAATGTCTGGATTCCGCATCATTAACCATTTGCACTACGACTAAACTTCACGGTTACAGTGCCGTGCGCAACAATATAACAAGCGGTAAAGTGTCTCATTTACGCCACTCCGCGCCTGCGAGTGCAATCCAGAGCTGTAACTCGAGAAATAAACAATCTCGTTGTTAGGCGATGTGTGCATCACATTATTTACATTTTTGCGATAAATGCCTATTGACGTGGTGTTCACGTTGCTCGTGGTTTGAGACAAAAGCCTCTCGACGTGCGTGGCACGTCTTTTTATCGCAAGTGATTAACAGGATTTTTTGACCCAACTTTTAATGCTGTGAACATTATGATAATATTTTTACATGTGCTCTGTCATCACAACACTACATGGATTGGTCCCAACTGAGATATCCCCATATTAGACAAAGGGCTGGGTTCACAAGTCAGAGTTTCCCGATAGGGTTAGACATTTTCGCTAATCATGCTACCACTCCAGGCTCCCAATCCAAAGTGGAAGACTAAGTTTCTCTATGACGACGGCTACCTCATGGGCACATGGGGTCAATACTCCCGGTTCTCAGGTTTCACCGTAGTAGAGAACATGCATGCTTGGAGATCTGACTGGCCGTTGAAAATGCTACTTGCCAGTATTATGGAGAATGCCTGAAGCCCTTTCAGGTCTAACACGGGGCTTACAACACCTCACCCTGTGGGCTACTCGAAAGAACATGGATGGTTTTACCTGCGAACACCCACAGGTCACGGGGAACCGCAAACTCAATGATTTTATACACCCCCGTGGCTGATGCCTATGTACAGATCCTAGCCAATAGCTTCACAATGTTCTCTGCGTCGACCCATGGAAGGGGACTGCTGAATGGTACGTCCAGAATTAGCTTAATCATTTCAGAGATGAACGATTGTATGGATATTTTCAGCAAGACAAAGCAACAGCACACACCATCATGACCACCTTATCATGAATGCATGAAGTGTTTGGTAAGAAGAGGACAATCAGCAGAGGCAGTGCAACCTCCTGGCCACCTTGATCTCTCCCTTCTGTAATTTATACCTGTGGGGACAAATTGAAGGGTCAGGTGTATTCAAATAATCCTCAGACACTGGAAGAGAAACATCGAAAATGCTAATTGTTGCTATCGCTCAGATTGAGCTGCTACAGGTGTCTCAGTTTGATAAATTGAGAACAGTGCTGCATTGACATTAACAGTGGAAATTTCCACCATTCTCTATAATGGAAAGTTCTCCTGTTCATCAAAAAAGGTCAATTCTGCATAAATCTTATAAATATTTGTCAGGATGGTTTTATTTTGCCCACCCTGTATAACCCTTTCTTATAAAAAGTTCATAGGATAATGTCTGTCTAACAGGATTCATCTCATGTTAAATTTCATTGATGCATTTATTAGATTTGCTAAGAAATGAAGCAGTTGCAATCCATTATTTCTAGGCAGGGAACTACAAGAATAAAAGCATTCCAATTCTCGCACTACGAATGAAACTGCACAGAAGATGTACGACAGAAATGCAACGAAAAAAAAACTGTTAATAAATTAATAGAATAAGAGCTGGGGATTGGTTTGAGGGATGCTACTTACTTTCTTGCTTAGTAAAGTTAATACGGGGAAGGTGGGGGAAGATGCAGAGAATAATTTATTTGATGCAATTGCCAAAAAACACAAACTGAATATAAAAACTGCTGGTAAAATTAACAGAATAAGATACGAGGACTTTTTTTTTAAGAGAAGCCACTTGCCTTCGTTCTCAGTAGAGTAAACATGCAAAAGAGATATGCTATGGAGAATAATTTGCTTGATCAAACTGCCAAACACCACCAGCTGAAAATAAAATACAAAAACTGAGTAATAGATTGGATGATAAAGAAAATATCTTACGCTGTCAAATAGCGGCAACAGACTGTTGGAGACATACTGGCCTTCTAATTAGCATAATTTTAAATTTCTCCCCTCCGTGGTAAAAAAATTAAAAAAGAAACGATCTGCTATAAGAGCAGTAGTTACGAGGCTGTTAAAAAAGATAGAAACAGAAATTTATAATTGAGAGGGCGGCATGGTCGGGAGGATTTTGCGAGTGTATGGTTCAGTCTCTAAAGGCTCTTCTGAAGAGAATCCTAGGCAAATCATCCTTGACATTCAGGGAATTAGAGATAGTCATAACAGAAGTGGAAGCTATATTAAAGCTATATTAAGTCCAGACCTTTAACATTTACATACTCGGATCTGGGAGAGCCAGAATCTTTGACCCCTGGTCACTTCTTAATCTGTTTGCTAAATTAAAAATCCTGTACGTTCGACTTTCTTTTCTTAGGAAATTTAGCAAATTTGTAATTTTTGTCTGGTTATCATCTTCATATTTCCTATTAAATTCTAGAGCTAAATCATTCGGAATCCCTTTATTATATTGGATCAATAAGTTGTTACGAATCTGGTTAAATATTCACGATTCTAATCCTCTAATTTGTACTCGATATATATTTCCTGAATGTGCACTTGCAAGATCTTTTAACCGGAGTCAGAGTTATTAAACTGCTAATGAGGAGGAATAAAAATGTAATTGAGAAAGGTTGCTCAGTTAATTTAAAAAAGAACTTAGCTGTATGGCATTAAACTTTAATTGATGTAACAATTTAGAAGATTAATCATTTCTATCGAAAAATAAGTAAAATTATTGTTTGGAAATACACCAAAACTATATTCATCTAATCCACATCACTATTCTGCTTCATGTGAAACTGTCACTGATCGCAAAACATTTTAACTCCCCAAATTGGCCCTGGAACGTTTTCGGGAAGGATGTATGCAGTTTTGGCCCGAGTTTGGGCACATTTGAGACAGCTGTACATGAAAAATGAAATCTACATGCAGTAGATAAATTTAAATCTTTAAAGTCAATTCTTACTTCAATGCAGAAATGCAATACAAGGGTTTATGGTAACAGCAGAGAATTACGAGAAGGCTGTGAAAATATTAAAAGATCACTTTGGACGCAAAGAACTAATAATAGATACCCACATGAACAATCTTTTACCAAATCTTCAATTTCTATCAAAACCACGACCTTTGAAAAAATTATCACTTCCCAGATTGGAATTGATGGGTGCTTTGATAGGCTCCCGCTTGTCAAAATACACCCAAAAGAAACTTCGGGACATTGATTTAATTGTATATCTGTGGACTGATTCTAGTATAACATTACACTGGATTCGAAGTGATGTGAAAAGATGGAAGCCATTCGTTCAGAACAGAGAAGAATTAATGTCTTGAACTGGGGATATACGCCTGGTGAAAATAATCCAGCTGATTTGCCAACTAGAGGTGAAAATGTCAAACATCTGAAGCAGAATAGCTTATGGTGGGAAGGGCCCACTTGGTTAAAAGAAGAAATGGAACACTGGCCAAAAACGAATTTATGTTCCACAAAGAACATTTAAGATTCCAACAAGGAATTAAGAAAAACATCAAAGAAAGTTTTTGTAAATTCATGCGTTACCGAACCTTCCAAATATTTATTTAAAGCCCAAAATTACAGCAAAAGTCCCTCAATCTATTTGTAGACGAAAGTGGTGTAATTCGTGTTGGTGGACGATTAGAAAATTCATATTTGGATTACAAACAAGCACATCCAATCGTGTTGCCTTATAAAGATCATTTGACTGATCTAATTATTCTTCACAGTGATCAGGTGATAGGGGATGGAGGAACAGCAGATACTTTAAATCAGATAAGAGATAAATTTTGGTTGCTAAAGGCTCATAGGAAAATTAAAAGTGTTCTGTACAATTTCAATGTCTGCAAAATATTTCGAACGAAACCTGTCGTGCAAGATATGGAACCTCTCCCACCAGACAGATGCCGAGAAGCTTTTCCATTTTAGAACTCCGGGAACTCCGAGAAGCTTTTTCATTTTAGAACTTAGAAGCGGGTCCACACTACGTCAAAAGTGGAAGAGAATTATCTAATACATGTTTTACTGTTTACCTGTGCTGTAACTAGAGGCGTGCATTTAGAACTTACAGCTGACCTTTCCACAAAAAAAATTTTGCTTGCATTTAGATGGTTCATAGCGAGAAGAACTTTGTGTCGAATAGTGTATACCGATAACAAAACCTTTAAAAGAGAGAAAAAAGAATTAGAGCTATTGAATGAGGTGGATGAAAAACAATAAAGTTCAAGACGAGTTCTTCTCTAAGCAAGGAATCAAATGGAAATTTATAATTGAGAAGGTGGCATGGTGGGGATCTTTTGGGAGCGTATGGTTCAGTCTCTGAAGACTCTTCTTAAGAGAATCCTAGGCAAATCATCCTTGACACTCAGGGAATTAGAGACAGTCATAACAGAAGTGGAAGCTATATTGAACTCCACACCTTTAACATTGACATACTCGGATTTAAGAGAGCTAGAATCTTTGACCCCTGGTCGCTTCTTAATAGGAAGATAGTTACTATCATTGTCGCAAGGAAGCTCTAAATTGACTTCAACAAAGGAGAGTCTTACACATCGATTTAGACATCACCAAATACTGGCAGAAAGAATCTGGAGAAAATGGAGACAGGATTACTTGATGAATTTAAAATCTGATCATTCCAAACCGGCGAAAACAGGAACCTGTTTGAAGAAAGGAACTATTGTATAAGTGTATGAAGATAAAATTCCAAGGCTGATGTGGAAGATGGGCATCATAATGGAAATCTTTCCTGGAAGAGATGGCAAGGTGAGAGCCTGTGTTGTCCGCTTGCCAAATGGCCATACGATTAAAATACCAGTGCAACTACTATATCCAGTGGAGCTGGAATGTAATAAGGACAATTACAGAAATTGTCTTAATTGTCCTTCCGGGCCGGAGGATGTTGCAACTCTTGCTGAGATCCGATGGCTGAGTGACGTCATCGTGAACTATGAACTCTAGTTCAGAGATTGTATGAGAACTCGGAACAGAGAAGTCGCATGCTACGTTGTGCTAAAATTAAAATCCTTTTCATTATGTAAATATTCTGTAACCTGTTTGCGTTTTCATTAAAATATGTTTGTGTAAAGAATATATTTATCCTTTATGGATTATTCTCTTCAAGATTTTGCAGATAGAGATGCACAGAAGAGATCAATTTCAACCAGTGGCCCTGGCAGAACCCATTGGGACAACGTAAGCAGCTTTGTTTTACCTTGATTAATTAGTTAGAAGCATAAATCAGTAAACTAACGGTACCGATACGGAAATAAATAATAATAAAGTATTTATGATATAAATATTCATTAAACTTGCAGCAGAAACACAGACTTTAATGCACATTGCTTTCAAATGGATTTTTTGTCTTGCTGCACTATGAAAGATCTTAAAGACATATAGATCAGCTTCATTTCTATCTTGGATAAGATTTTTAAAACAAAAGCATTCTTTTAGATTAGTTTCTAGCACTTTATTTTTGGCTCAGCACCACTTACTCTTGTAATCGTTGCACATTAGATATCTCCTGAATATAATCCATAGATATTAACTAAAAACATATACAAATTTTTAAATATTTATTGCACTTGCAATGAATCATTTTAATTGGAATTCCATATTTCTCATGAAATATGGAAACAGAACGTTAAAGATTTCTCATAATACTTCGCAAAATTTGCACAGGAATTTTTAACATGAAATTTTTAACATGCACAGGAATTTTTAACATGAAAATTCATGTTACAACATGCCTAGTGGTATAAATTCATGTTACAACATGCCTAGTGGTATATACTGAATCACTTGCTCTTATTACTTACTTGCTTCTCGGTGCTTACTGCTCCTTGGGATCAGTAACACCCTGTCTAGACTTCCTTAGTTTCACTAGTACGTAATAATGTTGGAAATAATGTGTTTTGGATGTTTAAAATAGAAATATATTTAAAATTTATAAAAAAATATTTATGCTCAAAGACAAGGATGTTGACATGATCAAAATAATTAATTATCTGGTTTTTATAATTGCGAAATTATAAATAAAATAATATTTACTTAAATTTTCTCTACCTCTATTTACCAACTAAAATTATTACAACAGAATGTATAATTATAAAAAAAAAATAACTACATTACTACAGAGGATACCTACACAAGAATTACATATGGATAGAAATAAAATATTTTTATGATCATTAATATATTTCAATGTCCAAAATTGCTGTCCCAAACACTGATGAATTTAAACAAGGTGGATAACAAACTAAATTTTACAATTACAAAATTAAAATTTATCTCATTAAAGTACACTCTAGATCAGCGTTTCTTAAACTACGGATCGCAAATCGAAACTCTGGCATTGCGAAAGTTCAATTTGATAGATGAATTTAACAACACTTCATTCATAAGACTATTAAAGAAATTACATTAACTGATAAAATGAGATTAATTACGTGTTAAGTGCGAAAGGAATTTGCAAAGCTATCCAGCGGTTCAAACTTAAAATTTGAGTTTTCATAAAAGTTCTTGATGAATTCTGGATCACATTTTGGTATCAGTTAATTAATGCCTTGAAATACTTATCAACTTTCTGTGCTGTGTTAATATAATCTTAGAGACAGTCCTAACACATGCAAGGGAGGAAAAGGACTTTTCTCAGTTAAATAAAATGGATGCTATCGCCACTGTTCCGAATCACATGGCAGTGCTAACCGACGAGATGTACAAGTTCGCTGAAGAACAATCCCTGATGCTTCAAATGTTGTCGCACTGACCTTGCGGACACTTCTTGCACTAGTGACCAATAAGTAATTAAATGGTATAAAAGGGTCAGTTTTCACACTCAGCGGCATTTTCTGCTGTGGATTCCGGAGATGATGGCTGGTTACACTAATCACAAAATGGGCGACATTCGCTCCGTGTTTGGTGCAGCTGATGGGAATAAGAGTGAAGTACAGAGATTTTACTGGGACTAGTTTCCGATGAGACACAGAACTAGATTTCTTACTATTTCTGAAATGACATAAAATGTTCTATTCCCATTCAGTACCATATTAACTACTTTTTCAGCTTTAATGATATTTAAAACAAAATGGCATTCAAGGTTTAAACATGTTGAAGATGCTTTATGTTCATCAATGTCATATATCGCACCAACATTTAATTTGTTATGCAGCAGAAAACAAGCATATCTGTTTCATTAGAATTTTCTTTCATTAATTTTTGTTTGCTTGAAATAAATCCCAAAACTACTTTCTTTTCATGTATATTGTTTGCCAAAAAACACAAATTATTTATAGAAGGATATTTACTTTTATACTTTTATTTTATATTTAATAACTGAGGTCACGAAAAAATCTCGATGATAAAAGGGGGTTGTGAAAGAAAAAAGTTTTACATATGCTGCTCTAGATAAGGCCACTAACCCAAATTCAAATCCCTGTGTATGAGCTTTTCCCCATATCATATAAATAAATACAAGAATATTTCCCTTAGAAAGTCCTCCACAAAGGCATCATTCCCCTTAGACAGATAGCTCTCATGTGCTTTGCTTTAAATCTATTAACCAACGAAACATTTTTACACTGCATTATCTCTGGTTATGTTACAACCGAGTTACTGAAGTAGGTTAATTACTATCACTAACATGCTATAAACCATAAAAAATAGTGCTTATCTCATTTAAATAATAAAACTGAATAACAATAAAACAAAAATATTTATTTCATCAATTTAGCATGTTTTCTTGGTACTTTCTGAATATCTAAACTCCTCTGAAAAGAGGAGCATATTGGCAACCTCCTAAATTAGAGAAAAACATTTGTTTGGGGATCATTATGGCTTCCAGGTACTGTTCTATTCATAAATAATAGTAAAAAGAATTCTTTTATACGAAACAAGAAATCTTATTAGGAGAAAAAAACAAAAACTGAACTGTGAAAAAACTGTGAAAATTTACATTTTCACAGGCAGTTGTTTAGGAAAATGACCATTAAATATAAAGCAAGTAAATTGAGTGCACACAGACATGTATGTGGCACACGCATGCATGGGTTAGTTATCGTTATGTGTATCCTTCGAAAATACTCCAAAAACTGATAATTCCACTGAAAGTTAAAGCTGGGTGTCCAAATAATTTGAAAACATCATTTACATGTTTACATAATAGAGTCAAAAGTCTTTAATCCGGACTCGTTGGGACTTCGGCGATTCCGGATTATAGATCATCAGTTTAAATCTGGTAAGATGGCATGCAGAAATTATAAAATTAAAAATATGAAACCGTAATTTATAAAATAAAGAGCAATTATGATCTAAAGGGGGTATCAAAATTAACAAACAAAAAAAAAAAAAAAAAAAAAAAACTTTATATTTGTTTACTTTATTAAACATTTCTTTCAACTCACGCATGCGTAAAGCACACATTACGCATAGTCGAAATTAGAAAATTGCAACCAGAAAACTATTTGATGTGTATTCGTGATATTTATAATGACGAGGAATTTGATTTAAATCATATCAAGATGGAGTACATTGAGATGAATAATCTACATTTAGTAAGGAGTTATAAGCCAAATAAAATAAAAACATCTGCCCTGAAGATAAGGATAGTGCTGACAAATCAACTTCCAGTTCATTGCGTGCCGCGTCGCCCCCCTCCCCCCGCATAGCAGCATGAAATTTATAAACATATTTCAGAATGATTAGGAATCAAAGGATATGCTTTTATCCATTTTTTGCAGCAATTCTACTCTTTATGGATATCGGCACATGCTTTCGCTTTGTAGATCCTTTGGCAGCTCCAGAATCGGAAATTCTTTTTGAGATAATCGAAAGTTCAAGCTTACTTTTATAAAATTGCTCTAACAGTCTGTAAAAAATAATAAGCCGGATCCAATTAGTACGCAATCTGCAAAATTAACTGAAATCGATAA